TCCACGGAGTATATATATATATAGGTACCAAAGACGAATGCGGGACGAGTGGAACACCAGCTGCCAGCACCACCGTACGCAGACAAAGGGCCATTAACGTGACCATCTACGGTATTGTTTGCATACATATGTATCCACTTGAAGTCACATGTGTTGAAATATAATAGAATAGAATTTAATTTAATTTCACTCCAATCCACTTCAATCCATATGGACTGAGATGAATATATGCACATCCAAACAATGGTCTACATGAGCAAGGACGTCCAGGTGGCCTCCATGCAGCTCTTCCTCGGCGGTACCCAGCTCATGGACGCCAAGAACACGGAGGACTACTCCATCGTGGACGGCTCGCGCATCCGACACGTTTACTATGATGAGTGATGCTATGTGAGATATCCATCCTATAGCTCGATCGATCGCACCATATATATCTAGAGGATGGATTTTTATTTATAATAATAATAATAATAATAATAATGATGATGATGATGATGATGATGATGATATACTAAATCCGTTCAAAATTATAATTTATTTGATTTTTTGACCCCAAGTTTGATCACTCGTCTTATTCAAAAATTTGTGTAAAGTATCAATTCTTTTGCTGTGGCTTTCTTTATTAACAAAAGTTCAAAAATAACTTAAATTTGACTATATTTACACAAATTTTTTGAATAAAACGAGTGGTCAAACTTAGGGTCAAAAACAAAAGTGAAATGAATTATAATTTGAAACGGAGGAGTACCGTTTTACGTGCCTCCTCTCGCGCTTGCTTTCGTTTGTTCCTGTGCTAAAATAAACTTAATGAAACTATATATACTGGCTTACGCAAGAATGCCCATTCATCGTCACGGCCGTCCGATCGATCTTGTTCGTCGATTATTGGCGCACGCTGAGCTCAGCGGTCGATTTTCTCCCGTCGATAATAGTACCTTCTTCGGTTTGAGGAATGAATCCGGATAATCTCTGGTTTTGTTCTGTTGTTCACTTCGGATACTGATCGAATTTCTGACTAGCTAGCCGGCCAGCTTGGAGATCAGTTGCCACGGTGGGGGTGTGTTGACGGAGAGGTTGGGCCGACGCAGTGGGATGGGCTGGGTAGAGCTGGGCTTTGATTTCGGCCTTTGGTGCCTGTATGGACGCAAGCAAACTAACTTGCAAAGCATCTGTACGCAAACACGGGCCGGGCTGCGTTGACCAGACACCATCTTTTTTTTTTGTGACTTGTTGTCAGACACCGTCTTGCAAAGCATTTGTACTGCTTCTAGCTATCACCCTCAAAAAGGATTGTACAGTACTGATTTTATTTAAATTGGAGTGGGACGCTGCGAGTGCGAGCAATAATCCATCCATGCCGAACATCAAGATGCCGAGAGAAGCAAACACAAAGAACTGATGACCGCACACACGTTGGCACGGCACCACCCGTCTGCACGGATGACGACATAGATACGGGCGCGAACTGCCAAACAACCTTTCGGGTCTTGCCGTGCATACTTGTTTGTTACTCCCTCCATCCCAGAAATAGCGCCGCCACACTACCGCGCCCAGCCATGGTCGGCGGAGTTGAAGACGACGGGCCTGGTGGATGGCCGAGCACGGGGCCGACGACCGTGGTGGTCGTCGAAGGAGGTTGGACTCATGATTTGAGTTGAGCAGAGGCCGTCCATGGCGGAGGCCCATGGCTCGACTGCTGCATGCCTGTATAGCGCGAGGTGTGCAAAGGGAAGTGGGCAGGGAAGCAACGGGACACTACGGGATACAGTAGATTTGTCGAGTGCCAGACACACTCGGCAAAGAACACACGGCGTACATTTTAACGGTAAAGAGCTCTTTTGCCGAGTGTCAATCATCGGGCACTCGACAAAGACTTTTGCTGAGTGTCAATAAACTCTCGGCAAAAATAAACTCTCGGCAAAAAAAGGTTAACGGGATGGCACGGTGACGGCGCTTTTACCAAATGCACGACGAAAACACACTCGACAAAGTTTCTAACTTTGCCGAAGTGTCAATCCCAAAACACTCGGCAAAGTTTCTATACTTTGCCGAGTGCCAACGCCAAAACACTCGGCAATGTTTCTAAACTTTGCTGAGTGCCAACGCCAAAACACTCGGTAAATAAGCGCGCAACGGCCAGATTTTATGGTCACTTTGCCGAGTGTCAAGTAGAATACACTCGCCAAATCCAAAACACTCGGCAAACAAGGTTCCCAGAATAACAGAAATTAGCCTCTTCGCCGAGTGTTTTGGCTTGACACTCGGCAACGCATCTCTTTGCCGAGTGTTACACTCGGCAAAGTGACCAAACCCCCCCCCTTTTTTATTAATCTGTCACATATAACGGACCCCTCTCAATTCACAATAGACCATCACAATTCACAATAAACCATCATCACAGGCATAATTATATGTCACGGGCATAATAAAACATCATCACAATTCACAATAAACCATCATCACATGCATAATAAACCATCATCACAAGTCACAACTAAGTCACAATAAGCCACAAATGCAAATGCAATCACTGCGGAGGCCCTTGTAACCACTGCGACAAATCCGGGTCTTGAGGCTGATTATTTGATGCCGCCGATTGATTCTGCACAAAAGAGAAGAGATTGCATGTGTGAGACAAGATTGATATTTATATGTGATGCACTTAATATCTAAGGTTCCTTGACACATGGAGATTGCACTTAATTCTACACAAAACAGAGAACTATGGAGCCCAAGCTAATCTTAAGAGTTTAGTTGCAATATTGCAAATGCACATGCCCAATATCATCGAGCCGACTCGTGGACCAAAACCTATCTAAACAAAGCATCAAGACTACCCATGACTCTACATCTCTACCTAGTCACAAAAACATGCAAAGTATTCAATCTAAAGTTCTCTAAGTCATTTTGTGCTGATATCTAAAGTTCTCTAAGTCATTTTGAGCTAACATCTAAAGTTCTCTAAGTCAAAGTATTCAATCTGCAGTATAAGGTGTCAAGTGACTCATAGGAGTAGTTGTGGGTGGCTGAGGTCGAGGGAATAGCATCGGTGGCGGTGGCAAAGCTTGACCCATACTCGATGCAAAATTCTGCATGTATTGGAACATCGGTGGCGATACCAGAGCCCACCCTCAGCACGCCAGTGAGGAGGAGACCTCACCGGTCCCCACAAGCCACGACTGGGATTCGGAGCTAGATTCGTTGGATCCGGCCAGGCTTCGCCGGAATCACGCCCGTCCTGACCTCGCCGGAGCTGGATTTGCTGATGTGAACGGGAAGAATGGGGAAGAAGATGAGAGAAAGGATGTAGGGGTGTTGTAGTCTTTTGCTTGGCTCATTGGTCTTTGTGCCCATCTCTAGAACGACAATATTTTTGGACGGAGGGAGTAAATCGTTACCTAGTCGATCGTACGTTCCACACAGTTTCACCCGTAAATTGCTCGGCGCACAACACACACGTGTACGTTGCACGTAACGATGGTCACCATATATATGTTGTTAGGTCGCTAATTTTTTGACGTGTCTAGGTCGTGTTATTCTACACAATTGAAAACTGGCCTGATGGCGAGTTGACGATTGGCGTTTTGAAGGGGCTGTTTGGTTGCCCGCCACGAATTGCCACGCTTAAAGTTAGGCTCGCCACGGTGCCTTAGGCGGGTGTTTGGTTTACAACCGAAGCAAGGCTTGCCACGCTCCAGCTACAGTACTCGCCGCCATTTTCTTTGTCGAATGTGCAGCGAGCTTTTCCTCCGCCTTGCCACAAACTCTGCCACAACGCCACCCCTCCTCCTGCTATGAGGCACCCTACCATCACCGCTCGTCCCTTCACCACAAGCCCGTCCACGGTGACCACTGGCTGCACAGGGCCCGGCACACCATGGCACCGCGCCCAGCTATGCTATGCTCGGAGTTGAAGATGACTGCGGGGCACGGCTGCTGCTTGGTCTTGGCGTGCCCGCTGCTCGTCCGTGTCCCTTTGGACATGCGCCCTAGCGCCACCACACTACCGCGCCCTGCCATGGTCGGCGGAGTTGAAGACGACGGGCCTGGTGGTGGCCGAGCACGGGGCCGACGAGCGTGGTGGTCGTCGGAGGAGGTCGGACTCATGGCTCGACAGCTGCAAGCCTGTATAGCGCGGTGTGCAAAGGGAAGTGGGCAGGGAAGCAAAGGGAAGCTTTGAGAAGGAAGGGGCCGTGTGGAAGATGGAAAAGGTGGCCACGGCACAGCACCAGCCACCTCTATCCAGAGCGCATCTACGATCGACAGCGGCGTTCCCTCTACGCCCACGTTCATCTACGTCAGCTAACCGCGTCGCCGAGGAGATCAACGTTGTGTCGACGACCCTGCTCAGGCCGGAGCAAACTATCGTTTCAGTTAGAAGTACCATGTGAACCTAATCTATGTTGATGTAAGCTTGATGCTGGTTAGGAGTGTGCTGAGGTGCTGGAGATGCTGGCTAGGCGAGAGTAGCAAGTCTAAATTCAAACACAGCAGGAGCGGGAACGGTTGGTGGGCAGCCAGGTGGTGACCGCGCCCATGACGAGAACCAGCGTGAAGCAGTTGCATTTTACATTCCGTGTATCTTTGTATTTTGAATTCTCGGTGTGTTTTGCGGTGGTGTAAACTGCAGGTATAAGTAGCAGAGAGTTTAGAGAGCGTGATAACACATTGTATCGATTGTAAACGATGTGTGTTTGTCGTAATACATCTGGAAAAAATAGCACTTTATCCTCCGGCGCTGTCTTTGGGTTGCGTTTCATCACTGTTTTTGCGTTTTTCTTCCTGTTAGGATAGCCAGATTTGATCTTAGCGCTATGATTGTGATCCTTGAGTTCCAACATTTGGTATCAGAGCCTTGATCACGCGCTAATCATTCCTTGATTCACGCCATGAGTGACCGGAGTGGTGGCGCAGGTGGCGGCGGCGGTGGTGACCGGATCACATACCCGGCACTGACCGCAACCAACTACACCAGTTGGAACATCCGAGTCTAGGCGATCATGGAGGACCAGGGGGTGTGGGAGATCATGGAGCCGTCCGAGGAGTCGTCGGAGCAGAGTGCGGAGGCGACAGCGGCGACGAAGGCAAAAGACAGGAAGGCGCGGGCACATCTGCTTCAGTGCTTGCCCGATGACATACTGATGCAAGTCGCGGCGAAGAAGACCGGGAAGGAGGTCTGGGACTCGTTGAAGGCGAGGTTCGTCGGCGAGGAGCGTGTCAGGGAGGCATGGCTACAAACACTGAAGAGCGAGTTCGACGCCATGAAGATGAAGGAGGAAGACACCATCGATCACTACGCAGGGTGGTTGACGGGCATGTCAGTCCGGTACGGCAACCTCGATGGATCACTCGATGATGCAGCACTTGTGAAGAAGATGTTCGACATAGTGCCCGAGCGGTTCATCAACGTGGTTGCGGGGATCGAGCAGTTCTACGATCTCAAGAAGCTGGCGTTTGATGAGGCGGTTGGCCGGTTGAAAGCGTATGAAGAGCGCACAAGGCGGGGAGCTAGTGGCGCAGCGAAGACAGACACTGGTCAGGTGCTGTTGACTCAAGCTGAGTGGGAAGCTCGGCAGAAGCGGATGTCTGGTGAGGGATCCGGGAGGAGCCGATCACAAGAGAGAGGCGGCGGGAGTCGTGGTCGCGGGCGAGGCCGTGGTGGCAACAGTAGTGGCCGCGGTGGGCACAGTGATGCAGCGAAGAATGGCACTGGGAAGCGCGGCAAGAGCCACATCAAGTGCTTCAAGTGTCACAAGACCGGGCACTATGCAAATAAGTGTCCAGGCGAGGAGAAGAACAAGGAAGAAGCTCATCATGCAAGAATGGTGGAGTTTGAGCCCTCTGTATTGATGGCTGAGACGCTAGTGCCAGGGAAGCCTGAAAACACATCTTCAGACAAGGAATTGTCAAACGATTGTCAGGGCAAGGTGTTTCTGAATGAGGTGAAGGTGTTTCCAGAGCTGCACTACACCAATGATGGAGTGTCATATGGAGATGTTTGGTACCTGGATAATGGAGCAAGCAACCACATGACTGGAGATCGAGCAAAGTTCAGAGACATTGACTCTACTGTTTCTGGTAAGGTGACTTTTGGTGATGGTTCAACGGTTGACATTCATGGTAGGGGTTCTATTCTGTTCCAGGGTGTTTCTAGGGATCAGTGGGTATTGTATGATGTTTACTACATACCTAAGCTTAAGAGTAATCTAGTAAGCCTTGGTCAATTAACTGAAATTGGACATAGAGTGCTTATGGATGATGATCTGATAGAGGTAACAGAAAACAACCCTGAAAGAGTTATAATGAGAGTTCAGAGAACTGTGAATAGATTATACAAGATAGAGCTGAAACCTATTGAACCAGTTTGTTTTCTCACTCATGTTAGTGATCAATCTTGGCTGTGGCATGGCAGACTTGGGCATGTTAATTTTTAGTCTTTAAGATTATTAGCTGAAAAGGAGATGGCAGGGGGGATACCTCTGATAGAACATCCAGATCAAGTTTGTCAATCATGTCTAGTTGCAAAACAGACTAGATGTTCATTCCCACAAACTTCTAGGTGGAGAGCAGATGAACCACTTGAATTGTTGCACATTGATCTCTGTGGGCCTATTACCCCAGTGAAAGCAGGAGGTAGCAGATACTTTATACTTATAGTAGATGACTGTACCAGGTGGATGTCAGTTTTAGTCTTGAAAACAAAAGACCAAGCTGTTCAAGCTTTTGCCAAGTTTAGAGCAGAAGCAGAAAATAGCTTGGGCTAGAAGGTGAAGTGTGTAAGATCTGACAGAGGTGGGGAATTCTTGTCAAATGCTGTCAAGGAAATTTGTGAGCAGGGAGGCATAAGAAGGCAGTTTGCTGCACCTTACTCACCTCAACAAAATGGAGTTGTTGAGAGAAGAAATAGGACAGTCATGGAGATGGCACGGTCATTACTGAAAGGCATGAAGATACCAGGCATGTTTTGGGGGGAGGCAGTGAGACACTCAGTTCATTTATTGAACAGACTTCCTACAAGACCAATGGGTGATAGGACACCATTTGAGGCCTGGAATGGCAGGAAGCCTTAGCTAGGTCATCTAAAGGTGTTTGGGTGCAAAGCACATGTCAGACCAACGATGCCCCATCTGAAAAAGCTAGGTGACAGGAGTGTACCCATGGTGTATTTTGGTGTTGAGGAAGGGAGCAAAGCTCATAGACTCTATGATCCACAATCTGGGAGGATAGTAGTAAGCAGAGATGTGGTTTTTTAAGAGAATGAAGTTTGGAAGTGGGATACTGAACTTGGTGAAGGTTCAGAATTTACTGTTGAAGATGCTGTGGGAGATACAGTACAGCAGTATGGTGGTGGTGGTATTGGTGGTGATAACCAAGGTAGCCAACCACAAAATGATTCAGGGGGAGCAACTGATGGAGTGCAGGGATCTGGTGGTGTAGGAAATTCAGTTCAACCAAGTGAGGATGCACAGCCTGACATTGTTACTGATCAGGCAACATATTCAGATGTTTCAGTTAACCAGCATTCAGGTTCAGAACAAGAAAATGATGATGAAAACATGGACATTGATCATGATGATGGGCCAGTGAGGTTCAGGAGCCTGAATGAAGTGTATGAGGATTCTGTAGAAGTGGATTTGGCTTCAGATACAGAAGTTGAAATTAATGCTATATTAGCTACTATGGAAGAACCTACATGTTATCAGGAAGCAGCTGGTGATGTCGACTAGATGGCAGCTATGGACAGTGAGATGCAGTCAATAATCAAGAACAAGACCTGGGATTTGGTCAAGTTGCCAGCAGGCCACAAGCCCATTGGTTTGAAATGGGTTTACAAGTTGAAAAGGAATGCTGATGGAGATGTGGTGAAGCACAAAGCAAGGCTAGTTGCAAAGGGTTATGTACAGAAGAAGGGTATTGATTATGAAGAAGTCTTTGCACCTGTGGCAAGACTAGACACTGTCAAACTGATACTAGCAATGGCAGCTAACTGGGGCTGGGAAGTGCATCACCTAGATGTGAAGACAGCATTTCTGAATGGTGAACTTGTGGAAGATGTTTATGTGGCCCAACCTGATGGATATGTAGTGAATGGCAAGGAGCAGATGGTGTACAAACTTAGCAAAGCTTTGTATGGACTAAAGCAAGCTCCAAGAGCTTGGAATGTCAAGTTAGACAATTGTCTGAAGAAATTGGGATTCAGTAAGTGTGCAACTGAACCAGCAGTATACACTAGAGGTGTTGGGAAGACAAGAGTGATTCTTGGTGTTTATGTTGATGATCTGATAGTGACAGGAAGGGATCCTGCAGAGTTGGCAACTTTCAAGAAGCAGATGACCTCTGAATTTGAAATGAGTGATTTGGGATTACTATCATTCTATTTGGGAATAGAGGTGGAGCAGAAAGAAGATTGCACAACTATTAGACAAACAAGTTATGCCAAGAAGGTATTGTCTCAGTTTGGGATGATGGATTGTAACCCAACAAAAATTCCAATGAATCCAGGGACAAAGTTGCATGATGACAAGGCTGGGGAAGCTATTGATGCAACAGGTTACAGGAGAATCATTGGGTGCCTTAGGTATCTACTGCTTACCAGACCTGATCTGGCATTCTCAGTTGGTATGGCAAGCAGGTTCATGAAGAGGCCTACAGTCATGCATTCAAATGCAGTTAAGCAAATACTCAGGTATCTGAAAGATACAATGAACTATGGTGTTGTCTATACCAGAGAAGAAAAAGAAGAGAGGCTGGTGGGATATTCAGACAGTGATCTAGCAGGTGACATGGATCACAGGAGAAGCACTAGAGGGATGGCTTTTTACCTGAATGATAGTCTGATTACATGGTGCTCACACAAGGAGAAAACTGTGGCTCTGTCATCTTGTGAAGCAGAGTTCATGGCTGCTACAGCAGCTGCTATGCAGGCAATGTGGCTCAGAAACTTGCTAAGTGAGCTCACAAGGACTAAGCCAAAGAAAGTTGTGTTGTTTGTGGACAACAATTCAGCAATTCAGTTGATGAAGAATCCAGTGTTTCATGGGAGAAGCAAACACATTGATATTAAGTTTCACTATATCAGAGAATGTGTTGAGCGTGGTGACATTCTAGTCAAGAGAGTTAGTACTTTGGAGCAAAAGGCTGACTCTCTGACGAAGGCTATGTCAGTGGTGAAGCTGGTAGAGATGAGGCACCTACTCGGTGTCAGGGAGCTTGAGGGTCATCAAGCTTAAGGGGGAGAATGTTGATGTAAGCTTGATGCTGGTTAGGAGTGTGCTGAGGTGCTGGAGATGCTGGCTAGGCGAGAGCAGCAAGTCTGAATTCAAACTCAGCAGGAGCGGGAACGGTTGGTGGGCAGCCAGGTGGTGACCGCGCCCATGACGAGAACCAGCGTGAAGCAGTTGCATTTTACATTCCGTGTATCTTTGTATTTTGAATTCTCAGTGTGTTTTGCAGTGGTGTAAACTGCAGGTATAAGTAGCAGAGAGTTCAGAGAGCGTGATAACGCATTGTATCAGTTGTAAACAGTGTGTGCTGTCGTAATACATCTGTGGAAAATAGCACTGTCCTCCGACAGTTGCTGGGTTGCGTTTCATCACTGTTTTTGCGTTTTTCTTCCTGTTAGGATAGCCAGATTTGATCTTAGCACTGTGATTGTGATCCTTGAGTTCCAACAATCTAACTAAACAAACCAAACTAAAAGAAAACTAACCCTAACAGCAAACTACTGACTAAACTAACCGTAATCCAAAACCATTATCTGAAACTAAACTTGCTAACTAAAAGTAACGTTGGTACAACTAACCATACCCCTAAATAAATCGAACCATAGAACCTAACTAAAAATAACTAACCCTAAAAATCTAACTTAAAAAACTAATCTACAACTAAAACTAACCCTAAAACTAAACTAACTAACTAATCTAATTAACTAAACTAACTAAATATACTAAGTAATCTAGCTAAACTAAACTAAACTAACTAAAAAAACAAAATCAAACTGAACTAACCCTAAAACTAACCCTAATCTACTACTAAAAACTAAATATACTAATTAATCTAACCCTAACCAAATCTAACTAAACCAGCTATGTCAGTAGCCCAGGCGGCGCCTACTGGGATGCCGATATACCTCTGTCGGCCCTCTATACAATTTTTTGTATTCAAATGCTATATTTCTAATTATTAATTAAAAAAAAATTATTTTAAAAAAAACGTCGATAAGCTGATGCTTGTAGGCCCTGTACGTCTCGTTCATGACGGATCCGGCGTGGCCGCTGTAGAACTTCATCCTCTCCACCTCGGCGGAGTGGTGCCGGTCTTCCAGCCGCCGGTTGGCGTTGTCCTGCAGCCGGGTCCAGGTAGTACCCGTACGCGTACACCCACCGCATCACCCGCCTGCCGTAGGCGATCATCTTGTACGCCATGATCAGGAACTCGAGATCCTCCACCTGGATTTCCAGCGAGGCGGCCATCTTCTCGAGCCCCGAGCTCCGCAGCTTGTTCATGTCGGCGAGCGCTTTCTGCAGCGACTTGCCGTTGCTCGCCCACCGCTCGTAGTGGTACAGATACCTGTCCAGCGACGCCTTGGCTTGCCTTCGCCGCCGCATCTCCTCCTCACCGCCCTCACCGTCGACGTCCTGCTGAAGGTAATCAGTGTAATCAAAGCGGGAGCAGCGCAAGTGGCGGCGCCACGGGTCGATGCAGAGCCAGCAGAACTGGTGGTAGCAGGGGGCGCTGCGCGTCATGTGGCTGCAGCCATGGTTCTTCTCGATCGGCCGGCGGCACTTGAGGCAGTGCTTGGTGTGGGTCAGCACCCAGTTTGCCGTCTCCGAATCGGAGACGTTCTTGGCCCGCCACGCGCGCACCGTGCCGCACGACACCGGCCGGTGCGCCTCCTCGCCGCAGCTCCAGCAGAAGCCATCGCCGAACAACTCCAGGGCGCGCGTGCACCCGGCGGCGGGGCACCACTTGACGCCGCCGCCGCTCAGCTCCACGTACGATCGGAGCGCGTACCGGTCCCTGTCGGCGCCGTCGGCCACCGCGTTGACGAGTTCCTCGACGACGGCCGCCGAGCAGGCCGGGTCCGGGCACCGCAGCGACAGGCAGCGCGCCGTGGCCCACGGCCGCGTGGACGTACCCGCACCAGCACGCGTCGCAGTAGTAGTGCGAGCAGCACCCGGTCGATCTCGTCCTCCCGGCGCTGAACCTGACGAAGCAAATGCCGCAGACGAGCCGCCGGCTGCTGAGCGCCATGGCCACCACGGAGTCGCCGCCTCCGCCGTCGTCCGCCGGCTGCAGGCCGACGGCGTCGCGCACGCGGCGGTCGTCGGAGAACCACTCGTCCTTTACCTGGATGGCTCCCAACTTGAGGTGGCGGAGCAGGACGGCCGCGAAGGCTTGCGGGATCGACAGGACCTCGGCCACGGTCGCCGTGTCCTTCTCTTGCCGCGCCAGGATGATGTCGTCGGTTAGCACATTGTACGTCGCCTTGGCGGCCTTCGTTACTTCCTCCACTGCGTACTCGTCACCGGGATCGTCGACCTCGCCGATGCAGCCCCGTCGTCGGCGGCTTCATAATCGTAGTAGTTGTCGTCGTCCTTGTTTGACGAGATTTTGTTCAAAATTTCACTAGTATGCATGTACATCTATACGTGCTACTGAAAATAATAGTAAAAGGAAAAAAACATGAATCAAGTTGCATTGGGCCGTGATGAGCTAATGCATAGTGCGCATGTTTATTTACGTGTGCTGGAAAAGAAAGAAGCTAACACGTTACTATGCCGTGTATGCATGCATACGTGTTGACATGCAATAGAAGAAGTTAGCAAGTATGTATACGTCCATGTGTGGTATACACTTCTCAAATACGGCGGAGCTCAAACGGCTTTAATTAGCAAGCGATCAGAGCCCACCAGGCAGCCATACAGCACATGGCGTCTGTGTACTGGGGGGTCGAATTCAGATCATGTGCGTATCATACGGCGTATAGGTGAAGCTGTGTACGGAGTACGATCTTGTACCTCAACCACAGTCCGGCCCGGTGAATTTTTGAGCCGGCGGATGGGACGTCCAAACCAGAATCCTTCTAGAAGCGATATCACGAGGGATAATTGCGGCATGTGGATGCTTCACCCGGCGTACGAAGGAAGGAGCGGCTCCGGGTATGTCGCGCTCGCCGACAGATTTTAGGCGGCGCGTGCGTGACGCCAGGACTTCCGCTGCTACCCTAGCTGCTGTCTATATAAAGGACCCTCAGGTCATCACGGAGAAGATTAATCACGCCCGGCCGATTGGAGGCAGCCGCCACCAGGGCGCTATCCATTCAGAGGCTCGGAGCGGATCGACGAAGGAAGGCAGCCGCCGGCGCCAGGAGCATGACCGCCCCAACGACGCTAGCGGCCAAGATCATCACCAGAGGCAGCCGGTCTACTAGCGCCATCCAGATGACATGATGGGATCGAGACGGACCCGGGTATGAGCCGCCGGCCCGAGATCGAAGGCAGCCGTCGTGAAATTTTTGCATTTTGGTCCCTTTTGATTTTTTTTTACAAAAAGATCTATGCCAAAACGTTTGCTGGAAATAGACCATTTTTAGGCGTCTTAGAACATGACGCCAAGGTATGAGGGTCGGCGTTGACTGACACGACGCCGAGGACTTGCCACGTCACGGACGACCCCGGTCGACGGCGACACGGTGGCGCATGGGGCCCAGTACGTCGGCGTCGTGTCAGCCAACGCCATAGGCCTAACTTCAGCGCGGTGGGGAGTCACGCCGAGCTCTTGGCACCATCCGGCGCGCGGCCCAGGCGGCCCAACAACGCTTCGTGGCCCAATAGCTCGGCGCGGAGTCACTTAACGCCGAGCCACCAGACTTGGCGCGGCCCGACTCAACGCCGAGGTCTGGACTCTTGAAGCCGCGCCGCGGCCCCCTTCTTCTTCCTCCCTCCATTTGAAAGCGCCGGCTCTTTCTCTGTCCGTCTCTCCCACGGCCCCACGAAACCCTAACCCCCAAATGTGACCCTAGGTGCCCGGATCTTGTCTCCCGAAGCTTCCTCGAGGTAATGGTCCCTCCCCTCCTCCAATCTATCCGCGTAGATATGCTTGCATTGTCTCTAATCATGTGGAATCATTGGTGTATGATGTTTTGGTATATGTGTATTTGCATTTGAAAAATGTATGGTTTAGGTTGATTGAGTGCATTGTTGTTTAACTGTTTTATGTGCTGAACATGTTAGGTTAGTTTGGTTTCTAGTTATTTTGGTCATTAGGGTTCTTTGTTTATTGTAGGTGTCATTAGGGTTAATTATTTGTTGGTCATTAGGGTTAGTATGTATTTTAGTTATTTGTTGGTCATTAGATTTCAATTTTTTATGACTAGAAATGATTATGTTGTTGGGGTTGAAAAAGATGAAATGATATATTTTAGTTTCTACTTATTGGATTGAAACTCACATGATATATTGATATGTGACACTACTTGTTGTGTGATGGCTGTAAATGGATAAATTAGTGAGGTTGCATCATGGAGGCCGTATTGTTAGGACAAGAGATGATAGTTTGGAATTTCTGGACATGTGTGAGGAGTTGTTGATTTTTTCTGAAACACCATCTTTGACCCAGTTAGTGGAGCGAGTGAAGGTTAAGTTAGGCTGGAATGAAGGAGACGTGCATGTTCAGTTTGAAGGTGTCATAGATGTTGGGTCGTCGAAGGGTCCTCGGATCAAGCGGTTGCTCAAAATTACAAGCGAGTCTGAATGGAATGATTACAAGGCAGTTGTATTGGCCTCAGAAGTGCGATCTTTGGATTTAGTAGTAAGTAAGGAGTCCGGCTTCGGAAATGATAACTTCGAAGCATGCCTATCTTCCCCCGCTCACATAGGTTATGGTCCTTTGTCTGAAGAAGAAATACTTGTCACACAACTAGGCTACGGTTGTGGTGAAGTGTCACCATCGCTCGAGCGTGATGGAGGTTGGTTTGAGGGCGGTGGAGATGAGGAGGAGAATGCGGTTGCCGATGGTGAGGGCAATCATGATAGTCAGAGGAAATACAAATCACCGCGGGCATCTGAAGAAACGACGGCCTCCACCGTCACAGTCGTTGTACATCTGCACAACGCAATCCAAACCGTGGCGGCATTTTAGCCAATCTTCAATGCGCTTATCGTATGATCTAAGAGGTCTCTCATGGGTGAAGTCACTCTTCCTCTCCAAAGGAAATTCCTCTATTGGTTCTTCAAAAGAATCAGGAACCAGAGAACCCTCCCACACAATCGGAGGTCCCTTCCTCACCCCCTTTCCTCTCCCTCCGCCGAAACCCTTTCCACTCGAGGAACCTCCGCTCGACATTTGCTAAAACTAAACCAGAAAATAAGTTGTGTGGATGTGGAGCAAGACATGGAGCACTATATATAGAGATGAAGGCAGGTTCACCATGAATGCTACTTGACAAAAAACTTGTGTGCGTACTCATTTATTGAATCTGCAAAGGCTAGATGCTTCATCTGAAAAGCCTACAACCATG